CACTTTAACCGAACCATCGGATCAGGAGCTTCCACTACTAATATTGGTTAAAGAAACGAAAATTATGTTCTTACAATTCACAATTTCTCAAGGCATGCATCACCTTCCCGAAGGACCTTAAATCGCCCACTCCAGAATCGCCACTGCGAGATGAAGAAAACGTCTCTTGCGTGATTCTCCAAACCCTAATTCTCTTCTCCTTCCCCATTCCACAGTTCCACGAAGCGTTTTGCCACAGTCTCAGTTTTCCGAAACCTACCAAACACCGTGAAGATTGCATATCCCGAAGAAGCGATTCAGTCACTTCAATTCCTTAATTCCCAGATTTTCCTTTCGCACGGAGCTTTTGGAGACCTCCAAAGTTGGTGAATCCATAGTTTCTGCTCATCCCTCACTCCTGCAGGTACGCTTCGTTCCTTGCTTTAGGTTTTTGTTTTTGGGGTTGGGATTTTGATCTGTAAATTGAGGGTTTTAGGGTCTCTAGCGAACGAATTAGGGTTTCTTTAGAGACTCGCATCTACATTGTGGAGGGATTTATGGCGTATGTTAGATCAGAAGKSTTTTTWTYGCCGGATTTGTCCTCGTTGATCGAATTTTGTCTTCTGTGCTTGAATTTTCGTAGATAGCCTCTTTTCTGTTGCTCTGATTTCAGAGAAGATGAAGAAAAATGAAAAGAATGGATCAGCAGGAAGGAACATTCGCACCAGATCTACATCTACTTCAGCTAATGCGTCAACAGTACTAGAAACCTCTGGTTTGAGGAGGTCAAACCGGGAAACACCATTTAAGAAGCCGATAACTCCAGCATCTGGTACCAGAAAGTCAGAGAGGCTAGCTCCCTCACCTGCTTCAGCTACAATAAAGTCTGGTACAATGGAGAAGAAAAACACAGCAAGTCCTTTGCAAAGGTCTGGTAAGGGAAAGAATGTATCCTCAGAGAATTCCAAAGGCTCGGATAAGTCTGTCAGGAATGCAGACACATCAGGAGATATTGAGAAGAGCATGGATAAAATGAAAGATAATATAGAAGCGTCAACAAGTAAGGTCAAGGAACTCGAGCCTAAAATGACTGGCCGAAGCTACAGGGCGTTGTTTAGAGGGCAGCTCAAGAAGAAAGTTACTGCTCCTTCAAACGACGAGGAACTAGTAGTTGTTGGTTGCTCTCGCCGCGTACCTGCAGGCAATGATGATGCTCAAGACGTTATCGAAGATTCTCCACCACATGTGAATTCAGACTCAAAAATGCAGCCAGTTGGCGAAACTAATATAGAGAATGGCACTGATTCTCCTTTGAAATCTATTAGGGACACAGAAAAGATGGTGCTTGATGCATCCCCCATCGTTCAAGCAGGGGGAGACAACGTTGTAGGCTCGCCTGAAACACAAAAGCTTCTTGTCAGTAAAAGTAGCTTAGAAACTGACATAGATTTGCCAATGAAAAGAAAAAGGGACAATGTAGGAATTGGGCTGGATGCATGTGACATAGGTGCAAATGCAGATGACTGTGTTATGAGTTCTGATGGGGTCATTCCATCTCCATCCGGGTGCAAAAATATTAATCAACCTGAAACGTGCAGCACGTGTGAAAAACGACAAAAGTAAGAATTCTTGAGTGTTGTTTGTCTTTTGAAACGATCTGCAATTGCTTTCTACTATAGGTGAATGTTAAACATATGAGTTTTGATTTTAGTTTATTTTTAAATCATAGTACATGTTGTGGATTGTAATTTATTTTAGTTGTACAAAAAATTTGAAGGGTCGATGGTGATTTCGAAAATCTGAGTGTTTGCTCATGCATTCCCCAGCCAGTCCAAGAATCTGATCACATGGCACAGGTTGGTTTCTGATTGCTTTACTTTGGACACCCAGTTAAACAGTTGCCTCTTAAATAGTCACATTTACTTATCCTTTTACTTGTAAAAGCAAATTATATTCTGCATTGCATTAGGATATGAAGGAAACTGGACCCGCTACAAGCAGAGACTGTAGGGAGAACAGGCAAAATATGCAACAAGATAAATCATATGATCCCAAATTGTCATCGATATACCCAGAGTATTGGGTTCCAGTGCAGCTATCAAATGTACAGCTGGAACTATACTGTCGGACTCTCTTCTCCAAATCTTTATCTCTTTCTTCGCTGTCTAAAGATCTTGTTGGAGCTCTTGAAGAAACTCTCACTTCTGTAAGGAAAGTAAGTCCATTTGCTAACAAAATTTATTTTTCAGTTTGCTTGTGCGCTGAATCTCACTTAACACTGGTGATAAGATAAAAGAAAGCAATATACAATTAGATAAGGTGTTCGCTGCAACGTATTTTGTGTTTCATGCTCGTGAGAGGTTGTCACATAGGTGTTATGCATTTCTGTTTGATGTTTGTTCGGGAAAAGGTTTAGGTCTATTTGTTTTATGCCTTTCCGTAACACGTAGGTCTTGAAGTGCAAATAAGACAGGTTGGGATTTGCTTGGATATCTGACTACCGTCCGTCATCTCAGTTTTATGCCTCTTTTTGCATGTTAATATATGGAGATATTAAATACCTTCTACGTGTGTTCGCAATTTTGTTGACAGACCTGTGACCATCCATATGTTATGGATGCTTCTTTGAAACAACACCTCACCAAGAATCTGGAGTTGCATGAATTCCTGGATGTAGAAGTGAAAGCAAGCGGGAAACTTCACCTCCTTGATGCAATGCTTACTCAGATAAAAATGAACGGTTTCAAAGCAGTTGTCTTCTACCAGGTGCATTTCCATTACTTATGAATGAGGATTGCTCTCTGTTTTTCATGAATCCGTTACTTAGTGCATTTTTAATATGTATATATATTTGTATACTTTTAACAATGGAATTCTGTCTTGTGCTGAAATTTGAGTGGGGTGAAGTGTAATTTTTATCATTTGATGATGAATTGTAAAGTAGGTTTTAGTAATCAGCTGGCATTATGGGATATGTTGAACTGAAATGCTTCTTCTCCTCTTCTTTTCTTTGTCGATATATGTGCCTCATGTATGTTTGAATAACTGTTTTTTGTTCAACAGGCAACACAAAGCCCTGAGGGCCTTCTGCTTGGTAATATTCTTGAAGATTTTGTGATTCACAGATTTGGTCAAAAATCTTATGAGCATGGGGTCTGTTCCGCAAAGAAGAACGCAATAAACAATTTCAACAAGGAGAGTGAATGTTTTGTTCTGCTGTTGGAAACACGTGCCTGCACTCAAAGCATTAAACTCTTGCAGGCTGAGGCTTTTATTCTTTTTGGAAGCAGCTTGAATCCATCACAGGATGTTAAGTTCTTAGAGAAGATAAAGATCGAGTCATATTCGGAAAGAACTAAAATATTCCGGTTGTACTCAACATTTACAGTTGAAGAAAAAGCCCTGATTCTGGCTAGGCAAAATAAGCGGCAAAATAAATCTCTGGAGAACCTAACTCGTCCTCTTATACATGCACTGCTCATGTGGGGGGCTTCATATTTATTTGATAAGCTGGATCATTTCCACGGTAGTGCCCCAGATTCAGGAGTTCCATTTGAACAATCTATCATGGAGGGCGTGATTCATGAATTCTCGTCCATACTTTCTTCCAAAGTTGGAAAAGAAAATGAAGGCAAACTGTGTCTACTTTTGGAAGCCAGGTATGCTCAGGGAACTTACAGCACAGATTCTACTCTATTTGGTGAAAAACATGTTAAGTTGTCAGATGAAGATAGTCCAAATAGATTTTGGACAAAGCTGTTGGGGGGAAAGAACCCTTTGTGGAAATACTGTTCGGATACTCCTCAAAGGAGTCGTAAAAGAGTACAGTATTTTCAGGACTCTGAAAAGATTGCCGAAATTGCCGATGACAGAAATATAAAGAAGAAAAAGAAGGCTTCCGCCGATGTCACTGATCCCCCAGTAGATAACAATGAAAGAAAAGCCTCTAGGAAGGATCACATGGGTAAAATAGTTCAATTTCTGCTCCTATACGTCTAGTGTTCATTGAATTTTGCATCTATTTCGCTGACTATCTTTCCTACAGGGGCTTTGGAGTCGCCAAAAGTCGTACAGCCGTCATGTAGCTCTGCTTCTGATTCTTTGGGCCGTCATATCTCTGAAATCCCTGATGATATGTTAGCTGGCAATGATTGGAGGAAAAAACCGCACGAATCACAGAAGAGTCTCCATGCTGTTTTAAAGTCGAATATGGCAGAACTTGGCAAAGTTTTGCATCTTTCAGTAAGTGACTTTTTTTCACCTGCGCAACTTATTATAGCTTTTGCACATGTAGAGTGTAGCTGGAATTGTTACCTCATTTCATATTCAACTATATTGTGTCCGTCAAAGCCTATATTATTTTCTTATATCTAGCTTCGTTACTAATGGTCTGTTAAAAATTGAGGAACTGCTGCACACAAAACACTAGGTATGTGTCTCGTGCCCTATGCATGATCCATTCCTGGAAGATTTTGATATACTTAACCTTAGGCCTCTGTACCTGGCGGATAAAAGGCATGGTACAGCCCTGTGTATTGTATGTCAAAAGTTTATCTGTTTGCTCTTAGTATAGTAACTGATGCATTGACTGATACTATTAGTTTTGTGTATAAGGTACCTGCTGTTTAAAGTAGTCTTATATCTTCATAAATTCCTGATGATATTGAATATATCTGTGATTGCCTCGGTGCACCACCGTCTATCAAAATTGCACTGGAAGGTATAATAATTGGTTGACTTATCATTTTGTTTTCAGGAAGATTCGACAAGCATGGTTGAAAAATTTCTTGAGTATGTTATTGAAAACTACCGTGTCTGCAAAGAGCCTGCCACCACATTGCAGGCCTTCCAGATAGCCCTGGTATGACAGCACTCACTTTGGTAGTTTATCCATTGTTTCCTTCATCATCTTCCTTTGTTTTGAATATCCTCATACTGAGGCAGCTCTGCCTTTGTGGGAATGCATTTTAGTTATAACTTTCCAATCATATGACTAAATTTTCCATTAATTGCGCGAATTATGCTAGGTACTAATGTCTAATAAACCCCACGTTAAGGCCTTTGATTGTTGCATAATTTATGAATAGTTCACATACTGAATACGCTCTTAATAATGCACTTTCAGAGTTGGATTGCAGCCTCGTTGGTAAAGCAAAAACTTAACCACAAAGAATCTCTGGTCCGTGCAAAATCTGAATTAGCTTTTAATTGCTCTAGAGAAGAGGCAGATTATATATACTCCGTATTGGACTGCATGAAGAGTCTATTCCTGGAGCACACACAAAGGGAAACAATGCGTCAGGAAAAGAACAATACGAAGTCGATGTGTTGCTCAGACAGTGAAGAATGCATGCCTGAGAAGAGAGGTAGCCATTATAGCTTAGCAAGAAAAGATATTAAGAAGACTATTAGTGACATCAAAAGAAAATGCAAGAAGCAAGAACAAAAGCTTGTACAAAAGCATGAGGAAAAGAAGGTGGGGCTGGTGAATAATTATGCAATCGAGAAGCGGCAAGTTGAAAGTAGAAAACAGGTGCAAAGAGCAGTAATTCGTATTTCCTGTTCAGGGACAAGTACTCAAAGCTTAGTGGATGAACTCAAGCTGCTGGATCGTGATTATGAAAAAGAAATTGATGAAATCTCAAGTGAGATGGATAAATGCCTTAAAAGTCTAGATGAAATGCGTGAGGTTGCAAAAAAGAAGTTGGCTGAGTATGAAGCCTGTTGGATTAGTCGGCTAGAGAACTGGGCACAGGTAGAACTAATAGATTGTCTACCCATAAAAAGTGGCAACAACAAGCATTTTAGTGGAATATGCTCATCAAACCCTTCCAAAAATGGTCCTGACGTACAAACTTGCAATGATGCCAATAGTGAAGCTGCTTATGGTGATACAAGTTGCATGGTTTCCAAGGGTAATCAAGTGCCAGAAGCAGAAAACACATTAGGAACCATGAAGGGTGGCAGCACTCAACAAGTTCATGAAATCGTGGCTTCAAAAAATGACATAATGGATGTCTCAAGCTTGTCTCGTGAACAGCCACCAGACAATGTGGCTACAAAGAGCCAGTCCAATGAGAACACTGCTGGCCGTCAACAGGATTTTGCGGCCTTGAATGTGCATTCGTCAGATTACCAGACTTGTGACAAAGTGACATCAGTGGCACCAGATGAAGATGTTCCCTCAAGGGTTCCAGAAATATCCCAGTCCCCAGCGTTTTCTTTGAATAGAGATGAGGCTTTGGTTACGATAGAAAATAATAGAGCAAGTCATATGGGTTTTGATGTTGATAACATTTTGGACCAGCAGAATGAGGAAGCTTGTTCTTTTGACAAGGAGATTCCTGACGAGTCTGTGGTAGAGACTAGGGGTTCTACTGAATCTGATCAGGTACTTCTAGCCCTGAAGAATACCTGATCCTTCGTTCATTTAATCTTGAGAGTGCTCATTCTTTTCTATCTGCAAAAACAGCGTGTACCAGTTAGATGTTATTTTTGCTTCATTAAATTGACTTTTCTGGACAGGATGATCAAAATATATGTCCTCTGCCTTCTTCACCGTGTGGAAAGCAACCAGACCCAGCAGCAAATATTCAGGCCCAAAATATTGAAGTAGCAATTGAACCTCAGCCAGCTGGATCAGAAACAGTAGAGACTGGTGCTTTTGCTGCATCAGAGCAGGTCCCTATTGAAGTCTTTCTATTTTGTTGCTTTAAAGTTTTAAATTTGTATAATGTTCATCCCATGTGAAAAAAAATAGAGCAGGGAAGTGTGGTTACTGATCTGGTCTCATTTTTGTTGTAATTGACTCGGGACAGGGGGATCAAGTTGCATGTCCTTTGTCCTCTTCACCGGCTGGAAATCAGATTGACCCGGTGGCAAACATAGAGGGCCAAAATATCAGGACATCAGCTGAGCCTCACATAGCTGTTCCAGATGCAGTAGAGATTGGTGATTCTGGAGTATCAGATCAGGTACTTATTGCCTCAACCAAAGACATTCTCTTCTGTTGTTTATTTTTTTTGTACATCTTTGTAATGCTCCTTCTGGATAATCTGTAGGAAACAATGGGTGCTCAAGATGCATGCTCTCCACCATCTTCATTAGTTGGAACTCAGACTGACCTCGCAGCAAATATTGAGGGCCAAAATATTACAACAGTGGCTCAGCTTCACACAGCTGGGTCAGATGCAGTAGAAACTGGTGGTTCTCCTGTTCCAGATCAGGTACCTGCCTCTGAATAAAGAATTTATTCGTTGATTTGTTTGAGGATCTAGTCCTTTGTAATGTTCGTTTTACTGTAAGAAACAGAGCAGACAATGGGTAGTGATAAGATGTTTTTGCTCGTGAATTTGATTTTCCTGGACAGGGTGGTCAAGATGCATCTCCTCTGGGATATCACCCTGACGCAGCAGTTAACAGTGAGGGTGTAAATGACACGACAATCGCTGAGCCTCACACAACTGGCTCAGATGCATGTGAAATGGAAATAGAAGAACCTAGTCCCCGAGTAGAGCAGTCAACACTTGCAAGTCAGTAACTGCCCTTGTGCATTTAAATATAACGTAGGTGTTTGCCAAACTGCTGACAGTGTGATGCATTTGTGCAGATAACCTTGTACAGATTGCCCATGAACGTGGTGTGGAGCGTTCAGCAGGTGTCACAGCTCCTGTTGCATCGCTTCTTAACAATGATATGGGACAGGTTGCCGTTCAACCTGTTCCCCAAATACCTTTCCCTGTGTTCAACGACCCTTTTCAATATGAACTGGAGAAGTTGCGGAGAGAATCAGAGAACATAAAGAAGACATGTGGAGAAAAAGTTAGTTGTCCTTAATACCCAGTTATCTCTTGTTTTATCTCTAGTTTTCGTTTCTTTTTCTCACGTCGTTGACTCTCAATTTCTTGTGACCAGAGATCAATATTGAAAGCTGAACTCGAGAGGAAGATGGCTGAATTACAAGCAGAGTATCAGGGAAAATTTCATGAGGTAGACGGTGAGGAGAACACCAGAACAATGGAGAATGACAAGAACATGAATCTTGTTTTAATGAACAAACTGTTGGCGAATGCATTCTTGTCCAAATGTACCGACAAGAAAACATCTCGTACCTCATCAGCTCCAGGAGGTAAGTGTCCGAATGCTAGAGCAAGTTAGTTTTAGATAAAAGGCGATAAGCCATAATAACACTTTTTTTCTCCAGGTAGAATTCAACAGCTAGCACACAGAGCAGCACACCTGAACGCACTGCGGAATTTAGT